AAAATCTCTGTATGCGTAAGAATCATACTATCAGTTTCCTCTCATCTGGTCTTTCTCCGTTATCAAAAAGATTTCTTGGGGAAAAAAAAGTTGAATATTTTCATCTATAACTTCACATTACTTATTTATTACTGTGACCCGGTAATACTTATTTTCCACTAGTTTTATGTCAGTCTTTCCTAATTTATCCTCACTAGTTGGTTGGATTCTCATTATCAAGTACAGATGCAGAGAAACTGTTTAGTTTTTCTGCCATTTCTTTTCTAGTAAAAATAATTACATTTCTATATTGTGGTTAATTTATTTAAGTCCTCTGATATTTTAAATAGTTTTTATTATCTGTAGCCATCTTTTAGTTTCTACTTTATTTGTGCTTTCTTCTTTTAAACCCCTTTTATTTTATAAAAGTTAATGCTGACTTACTCTGATTTCTAGAAATCCTTCTTTACTTATAAAGTGCTTTAACAATTTAAAACCAAAATGTATGTGTTTTTTGTGTAGATTTCATAAAAGTAAGCACACTCTTGCAATCTCCAAAATATATAAACGTAGACCATGTATCTACAATACCTCTTGGTAAAATCTCTTCCAATCAGTTTTGCTTCGTACTCTTTTTATCATCTTGTACTTCTTTTCCTCCTATGTAACTTGCTTTTCTGTGCCAGGTATTGCAGTGCAGAGACCCTGCTAGTAGTTAGATACAGCAGCATTAGCCACCACTTAGTATGTCCTCCTTTTTATTGGTTTGTGTCACAATCTTAAAAGTACTTTAATACAGTTATTTGCATTAAGATTAGGTTTTAAAGAAGGGAAAAGAAATCCCCAACATAATACGACACAATAAAGAATAAACTAGTGGATCTTAACCTCTTCAGTAGCATGACTCCACATTACAACAGGCAGATGTTTCAGGGTCCCCTTCCTTCTGCCTATAACAAAAGGGACACTACCTAAACCCCTTTAAGAGTTGGACATCTAGGTTGACAACTCTTGGAGTCAACTGTTCAACTTTTTATACTGCTAGAATTCTAAGCTACAAATGTGGGGCGCACTCTCACACGCCTGGATTTTGTCATGGCTGCTCTGAAGATAATATGTTCTTGACTAAATCATCTTTATGTGCTTCTGAAAATCAAAATGTCTTCTCTGGAATATGTTATTCTGAGAGCACACGGTGAACCAGGCGTTTAAGACCCCCTGAGATACAGCATTCTAGGTATTTTTGAGGGCAGCTTTTAAAACCGGAGAATTTGCTATGAAAGGCTAATGGGACAGGGAGGGGGGCAAGTGAAGAACATCTAGAGAACCTTAGGGGACTGCACAATATGGGTGGGGCCCATGATAACACTTAATATGGTCAGGGAGGTGTTGAACAACTTTTTGTGTTTCCCTTAGTTCAAGCTGACATGAGAAGTTGGAAACACCCAACCATCAGATGCCAGGGAAACAGGGTAAGCTTGGCAGTGGGCTTGAGGGGAGGGATAGGGCACAAACCAAATTGTCGATTAAATAGTAAAGACTATCCAAGGCGCTGTTGTGTTAAACCTGGTTGCAGGGTTTTATTTTCTGTACTGTTAAACTAGTTCACAGTGCTGTTAATAAGAGAGAAACTGTAATTTCAGTCCTGCAAATTGATGGGCTACCACAGGTCCCTGAGTCTGTGTCAAGTCCCTTTGAAATCGGTCCCTAGGTTCACGCTTCCTGTAGGATTGGGGATTAAATCTGTTTTGGATGTTTTTATTTACTTAGATCCACCTTCAGGAAAGGGAAATACAATGTGTGGACTTCTGTGAATTCTGAACTTTATTAGAGAGAATGGTTTGGGGGCAGAAAGGGCTGTTTGAGGAAAGCCGAGGATTCTTATGGTTTATTAATAACACAATTAATTTTGTCAACATATGGTCTATTTACTGTTTAAATCTTTAGTATTAAAATAACATTACAATAGAGTAAATAAAGTACGAAGTAAGTATTTCAGAAAGGATTCTGTCAGGAGCCTGTGACAGTTATTTATAAAAAAGCTGGCTTTCATCTTGTATGTTCATTTTCTTCTTATTATTGACAGTCTATTTTCAGCACTGTCAATAAAATAATGAGCAGCACAGTGTCCTAAGATTCAGGGCAAGTGTTTATGTTAATTATCAAAGACAGAAGTTGGACTAAAAAGTGGAAAAATTATGGCTCATAAGAAATTATAGAGGGTAGTCAAGACTGGAAATATTGATGAATTCTGGTGAAATTTTAAAGTGGGCAAATGGACAGCATGATGATGGCTAAAATTCAGTCTAGACAAATGCACATAGGAAGGATCAGTTTGGACTTTTCAAACACTGATGATATTAAAGGGACACCAATTCACAATCTGCATGGTTTTTTTACCTGTTACAGGAAGCATCTATGGTTACTATAAATGAAAGGTTTAAGGTTAGGATTTGAAAGACGTCAGTATTTTAGCAGAGGATCCAGAATTACATGCATGTGAGGTGCATCGAGATAAAATAGGCTTCTGCTTTTCAGAAGAGCTTCTCAAAAGTACAGGTCTCAGTTGTCACACTCTGTCTGGAGCATGTTTTTTCCTTTGATTTTCACCACTACATAACCATTTTGATTGTGGGCATTTAACAGTTAACCTGAAATGCAAAATAAATTAGGCTAAGAAGTCATCTTTTGTGGCTCTGAAATGTAATGAAATTGTTAAAAGAAAATGTACTGCTCTTTTGCCATCTTGTATGTTGAAGTATGGAATGTGGCATATATACTTGCTAAAGAGTAGTTCATAGTATTGTAGCTATGTTGGTCCTAGAATAGGAAGCACACAAGGTATGGGTGAGCTAATATCTTTTACTGAACCAGTTTCTGTTGGTGAAAGACAAGCTTTTGACAGCTTAATAGCTTTCACCAGCAGAGTTTTTCAATAAAAGGTATTGCCTGCTAAAAAGTAGGTAATGTTGAGCTAGGTTGATGCATTAGGTTTATGTAGAGGCTTGAAAAAAATGTGTATTGTTGATACACCTGGCAAATCTAATCAAATTTGATTTACAGAAACTTGTGAGAGTTACATAGCTTGTCAAATGCTGGCCTCTTTCAGTATATATAATAGAAAATGCTTTTTAAGCATTATATTTTAGCATAACTTGTGGTGGAAGCCTGTGGATTACTCTTTCTCCTGAATTAAGAGAAGTGCAAGTGTCTCTAGTTCTTTTGGAAACTGGCAGCAGCTACAGTAGAAAGGATACGATAGAAATGATTTCTGTGTTAAGTTTTGGGCCAATGGCTTTGTTGTCTAGGCTAGATTATGGTGGTATGTGATATATCCAAGGGTTAGGAATCAATTTTTGTAAGCCGTAGTTAAGTAAAATAGGTTAACTATCAGGATAAAATACAATGCAGTTAGGTTATGTCATACTAGGACTGGAAAAAACCAGAAGAGTAAAGTTAAATCATCTTATTTGTGGTAAAGTGTTTAGTTTTGAAATTGGAATATCTTGCTAAGATATTGAGGCCAGGCTACCCTGGTGATAGGTGCCCTAGTAATGCCTAATTAAAAAGAAACAGTACATTTATCACTATTGTAAAAAGTGAGAGATCAGACCTTCTGACTTTTGAACCATTCCACGTGAGGGTTCATCTCCATCTTTATATTTTGGATTGTGAAGAGTAGCTTGTCTAGCAATGTGTACAACGCATGGTTCTACAGAAAAATCTAGCTGTGGAATTTGCATTTTGGTCTTTTTATAAAAACACTGATCTTATAAAAGTCTGGCGGGAAAGTTCTCAGCAACTTAGCACAAGAACTGGATAAGTCAGTTGGGCAACAAAGTAAACAAGTTTGAAAGGCTTGCCCTAAGTCTGTGTTAACTGCACATTTTGAATAATCAAAGGAATATTCAAATGTTTGACTACAGCTGGCTGAAGTAATTAAACATTTAGGCTGGTGATTTGCAAGGAGCCTAAGGAAGTTGGGTGATTATCTCCTTTAGGCTCCTTTGATGAAACCAGGCTTATAAGATATGATTTCTAAAAGTTTAGCATTTTATTGGAACCTTTACTTGTGAGTTCTTCTGGTAAAGCAGTTATAAGATTAAGCTGCTGAGAACAGATAGAACCCATATGTCAAAAGAAGAGGATAAAAAAAAATCTAAAGACAATGAAAATCCAACAATATTAACCAGCTTTAACATATTTGTGTTTATATATAATAAATATAAAGTGTCTGTTTAGAATCTTAAATAGTGTGTGAAATTTCAGCAAAAGATCAGAAACCATTTAAGTCATTGGGCTGTAATATTTTTAGTCTCGGGATGAGATTGCACTCCTGGCTATCTGGTTGCTGCCACTAGCAGTAGGGTTAAAAGTATGTTGTAACCAAAATGTTATGTTTGGATTTGTTTTATAATTTATTAATAGAATTGAATGATTTTTACAGTTCTCAATGTTCATTTCACTGGAATGACCAAAATAAGTGAAATTTCCTTTTAAACAAGCTGAGAACGTTTCAAGTATTAAAGCCAGGAGAGAGGCATTCCTTGGTGAATGGCTTAAGATAAAATGTAACTTACATTGGTGTTTGCATCCCTTTAAAAAAAAATCAAATTTCATTCTGGCAAAGAACACTTTGGGGTTCAAAATAAAAGTTCAACTGTTTGAAAGAGGGCAGAAGGTTACATAGAAAAAATTAGGTTACCAATGGACATGGTCAATTTTTGCTTTCACATACGTACTTCACTTTCATTACCTTCAGTGGGATGTGTAAAGTCAGGTTTTAGCCCTGAAATTGAATGGATGTTAAGTGTATTGAATATTTTATAAATCATTTTAAAACATTTTAGACAGTAGTTTTCAGATATGTATTAGATAGCTAAAGACAAAATTGTAATGAATTGAAAAAATATTTTTTTATAAACATGGGCTAGGAAAAAAAGTAAGCCATTTATCACTTTTTCTTACAAATTTTTTTTTCGTTTTTGAGGTTTACTTGATGTTGTTTTCTAATTTCTAAGCAGATTTAGAAGAAGGCGTCAATGAACATGAATTGGAGCCTTCACCTCCCAAAGGAAAAAAGAGGGGTCGTAAGGGAAAGCCAAGAAAAACAAATCTCAAAGGGCAGTCAGAAGATACTAGATCTACATCCTCACATGGCACAGATGAAATAGAAAGCAGTTCCTATGTAAGCAGTAAATATAAATATGCTTAGAAGAAAGTTTAATTAAAAGATTTTGATTAAAACTGGTATCTGAGTCTCCAGTTGGTGGCCAGAGACTTGTTAAATTATGATCTTACTTGGAACCCAGCAGTATATTGTAGTAAAATGTTTTTCTTTCAGAGAGACAGGTCTCCCCACAGAAGCAGTCCCAGTGATACAAAACCTAAATGTGGATTCTGTCATGCAGGTGAAGAAGAAAATGAAGCTCGAGGAAAGCTTCATATATTTAATGCCAAAAAGGCAGCAGCACATTATAAGTGCATGGTAAGTGTGGGTTTTAATTATCTGAATTGCCCTTCTGTATATATTATTACTATAGTGCCCTAACATGTAGTTATGTATTAATACAGCCTGTACTTCCAGTAATCTCTCTGATCAGTAAAGTGTTGTGAGCTGAGGAGTTCCTATATTTTCACCAGAGGCAATGTTGATGAAAGTTGACTATGTTTAGAAATGGAGGCATTAGATCAGGTGGGCTCTTCAGCTTATTAAAAATGCTCTACTGTACCTAGGTACATGTACAATGTTTAAAAAACAAAAATGTAACTCCAATAACATTAAACAGTATTGACTAACTAATTACACCTCAAATAAAATACCACTAATGTCCTCACACCCTCAAAAAAAAAAGTGACTGCTAGAGTCAGCTTCCCCTACTTGAAACTCTGCTGCTTAGTGATCACATCTGTGGAACTAATAGCTCATGTTCATCAGCTGATCACAGTGATTCCAGAAGACCATGAACAAAGACAACAGCTTTTCATGTGGCTAGGCCCTTGATCCAGGTGGGCTGTACAAAAGTCTGCATCTTGAGTTGCACCTGGCAATGAGTAGGTAGCCAGTGCAGCTGTTAGACTGCTGATATAATTTGCTCATATAGCTAGTCTCATTATGCAGAGAGCCACACCTTTGTTGCTGTTGAGTGTTCTTTGTTCTGTTGTATGCATGAGTTCAGAGAAGAAGAGCTGCAATGCTGAGAAGCAGATTAAACTGAAAATGTAGCAATAGCCTAACAATAATAGAGCTTACAATATATGAGAGAGTAGATGTTTGTCTTTAAGTGCAACACAAATTTAAGTGTGGAGCCCAAACTGGTACCTCCATAATAAAGGGACATTTCATGTAAAAGGATCACAAAACATCTCATAAAGGAATTAATATATATCCATCTTTGGGGTGAAGACAGCTGTTGTCTAATATTACTGTATATTATTAAGGACAGTTTGGCATAAGAGATTGGCAGTTGTTTTTTGTCAAGGTCCAGATTCCAGAAAAAACATTTTTCATGACCCAATAACAACAATAAATAAATAAATATATTTTGTGGTCAGTTTAAAAGCACCTGGTGCTCCAGATTTGGCCTCAAGTCTGCTTATTGACTACCCTTTGTTTGGGCAGTTCTGTAACCTCCATCACTAGCCATAGAATTTGAGCCTCTTATCTCTAAATTTTATCCCCAATTTCACAGATGGAGAACTGAGGCAAATAGAGATGAAGTGACTTGCCCAATGTAATATAGTTTATGGCAGAAGTAAGAACAGAATTTAATTCAGCTGCACCCATTCTGCTGCCTTAAACCACCTTTACTCCCAAGAGGTCTCCAAGACCTCTCTGAGATGCCGCCCTTTACCAGGACCTAGAAGGTAGATCAGTTATCAGGTCTGTAGCAGCTATTATGGGGAAATACTTCCTGGCTTATGAACTCCTGGTATACAACCCAAATCTTCATGTATAGGTGTTCGAATCCTCCTTGAAGCACCAGAGGTCCTGGCTGCTGTCACTAGAATCTGAGAAAGTGGGTCTAGGTTGTGGTGCTTAGCCAGCATGTGAGTTTGCCCACCTTATGCATCCCTTGTCCTGTGCTCAAGGAGGTGAGGGCAGCCTGGGCATGCTTCTCCCCCTTCAGCTACTCTACTTTGCTTGAGAAGATCTTCCAGGAGAGTGTTTTACACCCTTCACTCTTGGCCCTCTAGAGCTTGTCAACAAGTTCCTGCCCTGCAAACCCACTATCCCCAGAAGCCTGTGATACACCCACCACCTGAGTTGGCTAGACACCACCCAGCTGATCCACCCCCATACTGACACCAAGTGATGGCAGCTGCTGTAATTTGTGGATCTTCCCCAGATCACAATCCCCTCCTACCCTAGGTCACAACCCAAACTCCTGCACCCCAATCTCCTCCCGTAGGTTACCAACCAAACCCTTGCACCTCAGTCCCCTGCCTTAGATCACAACTGCTTCCTTTACCCAAACTCCCTCCCAGACCCCAAGCTCCCTCCTGCACCCCCAATCCCTTATCTCAAGCTCCCTTCTGCAGCCAACTTCCATCCCAGATCCTGTACCTTCTCCATTAATATCATGGGAAAGTGCAGCCCTCAACCACTTTCCAAAATTTTGGAGTGGCCCCCCGTCAAAGATGATTGCCCACCTCTGTTTTAAACCATGATTTGAGGGTTTCAGCGACTCAGACACAAGTTAGGGGTCTGTTACAAGAGTGGGTGGATGAGGTTCTGTTTGATCATGATGACCCTTTACAACCTTAAAATTTGAGTTCCTCGGGGTGCCATCAACTGATTCCTTGGACTTTGAAGAGCAGGAGCATTGCAGAGTTGTCTGATCAGTGTGCCCATCCAAAACTCATTATGAACCTTTACTCCTCACTCCTGTTTTTGCATTTGTCATCCTCCCAAATTCAATTGTGGCCAGGGTTTTGCGGTTCCTCTCCCTTGGTTGAAGGGGCTGGTCTTGCACAATCCTGAGCCCGCTATACCATGGGTACAAAAAGACAATCTTTCCTACCCTACGGAAGGAGGCACACATCCAGTTGAGGTAGCAGATAAGCAAAACAGAATTGCCCCATCTGAAAGATGACCTGGACTTTTATGTGACACTATCCCTACCACTATTTGACTATCCCAATTAGCTGAAATCTTCCAAAAACTTTTACTGCCTATACTCAAGTCTTGTGAGTGCTGTAGGTCTAATTATAAAACAAAATGCATTCAGCCAATAATAGTTGCAGGTAATGGAAACATACTTGGTTGCTACTCCTTGGAAATGTCCCATTGTCACCATTTCAGGCGTTACAGGGACACCAATATTGGTAATGTGAGTAAGCTGAATTATTTAGGTGGGGCAATGAAGGGGGGATGAAATATGCTTAACAGAACCAGGGCTTGTCTTCAGCATCTTAATTGACTGCAGTACTCGTTGCTTTGTATATTCTGCATCATAACTATTCCTTAACTACTGCTTTGTCATTCAAAAAAGTCTCTGAAATGTAATAACATATGATTAAAGCAGTCAGGTGGGCATTGGAAGGAATATCCAAATTGCTGATGCACAATTTTTTTCTAGTTCATTGGCAAAGCACTGCTTACCAGCAGATAATTGAGTAGAGTACCTCCCCTTGTGTTGCTCCTGCTCTTTAATTTTCTTATCACCACATATTTATTTCCTAAAATTGTTGTTAATTGCTTTGCTTTACAGCTGTTCTCTTCTGGCACTGTCCAGCTAACAACAACATCCAGGGCAGAGTTTGGTGATTTTGATATTAAAACTGTACTTCAGGAGATCAAGAGAGGGAAAAGAATGGTATGTGTCTGGTTTTGTAAGGAGAGCTTCAGGAATTCTGCTGAGTAGATGTACAATTTTCTCTCTTCCTTATGCGAATAAAAAAAAAGATTTAAAGAAAACAATATAAATATATTGTCAAAGTGTCTCACAATTACTGTGGGCTTTTTAACTATAGCAGCACTTCTCAAACTTTTTGGGCTCCAGAGCCCTTTATATGCGTAAAAATTTATGTAGAGCCCCAGTGGTCCACTGACTGTATGTGTTGTACCTATCGATGTTTCCAGTTTGTCAACCTTGCGGAGCCCCTGGAGATGTCTCGCAGAGCCCAGTTTAAGAAACACTGAACTACACCATACTTTATCAATTCAGTAGGTTGACCCTTTGGGGACCCTAATAGCAAGGAAGGAACTCAGTTTTTTTCCCCATTCTTTAGAATCTGTATGGCATGACATTGATAAGTAGGTTATGGGAGTGAGTTCTTGTAATTACAGACTTATTTCAAATTTGTTTTTTTTGTTTTTTTTTAAATGATGGTTAATTCATTCATAACACATTTGAAAAAGACACCAAATCTCTATTGCCAGTTGAAGGAAGATGAATCCCGAGCTTAACTCTGGTGAATTGCATCTTTTTAAATATTTGTCTTGGGGTCTCAAAGACCCCAAATATGTTGCCTTAGTAAAGTCTTTAACTAGAAGAGGAGCCTGACTGTTGGATTCAAATTCACACCCCCTTGGTCTGTTCAGCGCCAGATTTGCTAGTCACTTGGGCATCTGGAAGGTCCATCTTTTCTCCCATGCCTTTGGGCAGAACTAGGCTGAAGCTTGGAGGGGCTTTTCATGATGATGCCACCTGCTTGGGAGGTGTTTTGTCATAATCTTATGTCTGTTGGTGCATGTGTTTGTTTGAAGTGGTCTGATCAGTATATTATGACATTTTAGTGTGAAAATTAGATCATAGAAGGGTCCCAGAATATGCAACAGGCACTGAGGTATGTTTTATAAGTAAAATATGGTGCAATCTGTTTCATTAATATAAAAATTATTAAACATATTGAACTCCATTACCATCTGAACAACTTAATACTTTACTATATCATTACCAAAAACACAGTTCATGTTCAGTGAGTTTTGGTACTTGGAAAAGCTAGCTTTAACTTCAATAACAGCAGCAAAGTGGAGCTTAGAACTGCAGCAATGTGTGCAAATCTTGCAGTTACTTATTTTTGCAGCAGTCAGGATAAAACAGTGCTCTGTTATTCATGTATATAAAGATAAGGTTTGTGCTACAAGAAAAATTACTTTGTGTTTATGGCTAAAATTTAGGGACATCAGTCAGAGAGAGGTAAGTGATAAGAGATAAAATGAATTAACAGCACAATTTAAGAGTAATGTTTTCTTTTCCCTCAACAGAAATGCACTCTTTGCAGTCAGCCTGGGGCTACTATTGGATGTGAAATTAAAGCCTGTATCAAAACTTACCATTACCACTGTGGAGTACAAGATAAAGCTAAATACATTGAGAATATGTCACGAGGAATTTACAAGTAAGAGCCCTAGCAGTTAAGTCTGTAATGACAGTTTTTTCTCATCTCCTCTGTAATAACTTTGAGTTGCCTTTTTTTTTTCAGATAAAACATTCTGATAAGGCACTCAGCTGCATTGCAGACAGTAGGCAAAACACTGCTATAAACTTTGGAAGTTCAGATAAGATGACTATTGCAGTTCAAAAGCTAGTTAGGTAAAATCTTGTGTAAAGTCAGTTTTGTTTTCTTGAAACATCTTGTTCAAGTTGAGTGTCATAGGACAACAAATTGTCAAGTTCTATTACAAGTGTAGAGAAAGTTTAGAACTTTTTGTAAAGTAATCTTGTCCTACACAGTGGCAAATTAAGAGAACTGGATAGGTGTTCCTGTCAGCAGCCATCCTTGATTGGACAAAGGGCTTGCTATTTGACTGCTCTGAGAGTCTTCCTTTCTGATGGAGCTCAGTATATTGCAGTCAGAATGTTCTTAGCCTTTAACAACCAACGGATCAATATAGCCAGACCTCTAGTTGATACTATAGCTTCTTATGGCATTGTTGATCATTGACACCAGACATCTTGTACTGACCTGGGATGTTAAACTGCATTTATTTTTGTAAATGTGTGATTGCTGAAATTTTCAGCAGTTACAAGTTTACATATGCAGGATTGGAGGAGAGGTGGGAGCTGAAACTTGCGGGGAGCTGACTTTTAAGCTGGCTCCACATGAGCACTGGCTGCTGCCTCCCCTCTCACCTCCCGCTTCTGAGAAAGACAGCAGGAGAGGGCACTGCACTTACTGACTCCTGCCTGCCCCACCTCGCTGCTACCTCTGATACAGAGGCTGCAACATGAGGGAGGGGGCTGCGTGTGACCATGAGGGACTCATCAGTTAACCATGTACATGGTACACATTCACATCCCTAGTACTGACTATATATTTTTTCCATTTAACCTGAAAGCTACTTAAGCTCATTCTGCCAGCTCAGATAAGGATAAATACATATGCAAAAATTGAAGCATTTCTTTTAAGTTCATTATAAAACATGAAATATATTGTGTGAATGAAAATAACTCATGATTATTTTCAAAATAACTTTCAAACATTTGCAAAATATTTTGTGATCCTAACTTAATTCAGAACCTCCATATACCCACTTAAAATGCATGAAATATTTTTTTTAAAAAAAGCAGGTTTTTTTCCCCCTGATTAGTGAAATCTGTGACTCAAATTGCTGATGTCACAGGTAAACTCCTGCTATGTTCTACTCTCTTAGGGATAACTGATGCCTCTTTTTTCCTGTTCCTTTACTGTTCCAACCTCCTTTCCCTGTTGCTGCCAGGAACCTATTGCAATTGAAATTGATGAGCTCCATCTCATTTTGGCCACAAGGAGGCATTTTGTGAGCAGTGTGATCCCAAGAAACAGGATTGCTAACTAGAATTGATCTGTTTTAAAATTATTCTGCCTGTGCTCGTCTATAAAGACTGCTGGAGCCTGGCTTTCCTCTTCTTATTTCAACTTATTTATTGATTTCAGATTGATAGCTTACAAGCCATGAAAAAATGAAAGTAATTAGAGATTGACACACACAACTACATTTTTTGAGTGCCTATTCTCTGAGTGTTTGTTTTTGTTATGTAAATGTCCATGAGAACAGAATTTTTGATCCATTTTGCATGTAGATTTTACACAGAAAATCTATCACAAAACTTCATAGAACTCACTAGTACGACTAACCATGTTCATTCTTTTATGGTAGAGCTGAGAGAAAGTAGGTCTTTACATATGCAGTCATTAAACATGTAGACAGCTCATACTGCATTTTAGATAATCAAACTGATTTTTTATTTTAAAGTGTTTTTTTAGTTATCCAATACTTAACACTTGGTAGATTTCAATCCATTTTCACAGGAAAAAAGGAAACCGTTGAAAGTAATGAAAATCCTGGAACAAAGCTTCTAGTGTAACAGGTAGTGGTTACGTTTAGGAAAAATAGTAATTAGGATCCGTTAAGGCTAACATATTAATATTGAGCCTATCATAACATAAATCTTTGTCTCTGCTCAGCTCTTACAGTTGTTTGACATAGGTCAATACAGCTATCTCAGATTAAGGTTCTTGGTGGTGGAACTCTCTCAGGAGGTTTCCTGGTGTTCCTCCTTGGTTGCTTTCTGAGACATGAGGCAGGGCCTGTTACAGGCATGTGTACTGCTGCCTGGTTTTGAGCTTCTGCCTTTGTTTCACCCCTCCTTTGTATCTTTTGTCAGTTGGGAATTGTTCCCTTTTTTTCTTTTGTTTTTGGATTTGCCCCTGTTTCAGGACCCCTTGGCTTTAGCCCAGGGGTGGGCAAAACCCTCTTAGCGTGTTGGATCCAGCCCACATGGCAGTTTCTGGCCCCGCCTCCTAGTGCATTGCCTGGGGGCTGGAGACACAGGAGCCCTTTTAACTGCGTCTATTTAAAGGGCTTGCGTGAGGCCCCACCCCTTCCAGGATGGCCCACAACTGCTTCTAAAATTTGTGAGGTGGCCCCCTTCAAATATTATTTCCCACCCTTGCTCTAGCCTGTGATTTGTTCAGGCTATCTAATCTGTATTTATAATGTCAGATATCTTGACTGGTGTTTTGTACGTTAATTCAACAAGATTTTAAAATGAGCCTCTTCACTCATGGAGAAAGCCCAGAATGTTTTAAAATATATATTTGTGTTGGCTTTATTTCCTGTTAAATGCTCCATTGTTGCTTTTATTGTCTTAGACTCTATTGTAAAAACCATAGTGGAAATGATGAAAGGGATGAAGAGGATGAAGAAAGAGAAAGCAAAAGCCGTGGGAAATCAGTCTCTGACCATAGTAGCATTCCTCAGCAGCAACTCAATGGAAACTAGGTATGGAAGTTTCTCCTGGCAGCTCTGTTACTGAGACTAAGACAGAAACACAGCAAATATTTGATGTAGTTAATTGCAGTGAAATGTTTAAATCTAGTATGTGCAGATAAGTGATTTTTATTCGTGTACTGCAGAAGAATAGGGAACTTTATTTTAACTTCAGATGGTTTTGTAACAGTATTAGAAGGGAGACCTCACATTTGTTGATAAATGTAGCTGTAATGTCAACTATGTTAGATGCTATTCTCTTTATATGATTTTTAATTTACTGTTTTCATCATTTTTTAAACAGGTTCAAGGGACAAAGTTAGAGAACTGGGAATGAATAAGACATCCATAACTACTAATTCTTTTTAATTGTTTTCTAAGATCAGGAAAGGGTTAGTAACTTTTTACAGCCCGATTCTGTTAGAAATTTCATTGAACTGCCTGAAACGTTCATGTGTGTGAGCCTTCAATAAGTGGCAGAGTTTTACATGTCAATATTATGTAGTTTGTAGTCTGCAGCGTCTGGAAAAAAATTGAAACACTATATAAATGATGTAATATGTACAATGTCAAAAGATAAGGCAGACATTAAAATGAAGTAAGCTTTATATTTCTGGACTGAATAAAAATCTAAGTTTGGAATGTGTAAGTTGTTTAGTGGATTCATGCACCAAGGGAAAGTCTTAGTAAGATTAATTCAAAACATGGATGACTCCATGGTGGCAACAAGCTGGTAACTCACGAATTTCAGATTTTCTTTATATACAAAATATAGAGGATAAACGTGGGGGGAAATTGCTTTCTGTTTTTGCTTGCAAAGCACACAGTAAAAAAAAAAAAGAACTCAGTGCACGCAGAAGCATGCTTGAACCTTTCAGTTTGTTCCTGTTGTGATTGTTCCTACTGCCCAGCATTCCTCGCTGGAGATTGACTCGAGCAGCTGTTGGTTACAAGCTGCAAGCTTCAGTACTCATGCCAAAGGGCTGCAGTTCTTTCCCCAAAAGTCCACTGCCTCTATATCCCTATTGTACCAAGAACCTCTCACTAAATGTGACTCAAACTAACTTTTGGAAGCTGCAACCCAGCCCCTTTAGATTTCAGAGTTACTGCTTCAGATTACTATGGAATTTACCCACCTTATTTGATATCCATACCTCAAGTGCTCTGTGTTATGTGGAGCACTTCATGTTTTGTTCAAAATATGCATATAAGTCCACATCCTGTGAGGAGAAGGAGGAGTTATCAGTCTCTTTTTTTGTAGATCAGTATTTATTTTTTATCTTGTGACCACTATATAAGAAGAATTACTTACCATTCTTAATGTTTTAACATTTGATTAATTTTTCTTGACAAATAAATAATCATGCCATGGCATTTCATAAATCTAGAAGTCAGTGTTCTGTTAGAGAATAATCAGGTTTAGATCATACCAAATCTAACAGCTCAATTCCCTTATTTTTTCATACAGCTCTGGCATATCTAATTGCTAATAAATAGCTGCTTCTGCTGGTGCTATTGAAGCGCATTAGCAGATTCATTTAAAATAAAACCAAAAACTTAATAAGTCTGTCTGTCTAATGCTTCAGTGGTATCTCATTGATCATAAAGATTCTGAATCTTTCTGAAAGCCCATTAAACTGTCTAGATTTGAAGTAAAGCATCAAGCAAGAAGCTCCTGACAATTTGACTAAAAACAGTGAAGGTTCCTCTGCAGTTGATATTAAGAAGCAGTTCATTTGTAACATAAATTTCTGTAGCATTTTTACATGTATTTTTAAAAGATTTAACATGTCATTGTCTTTTCATATGTTTCCTTAATGTCTCAAGGGACTCAACTGTTGCATATTAAATTTCTAACATTTTGCCATGTTAGAATTAAATGCGTTTTGGGGAAGAATGCAGTTTTAGTAGAAATATTACTGTGTACAGAAAATATTCAGTTACTGCTCTAAACATGCCATTGATCGTTCTTATTTTGTATTTGTAACTCTCAAAATTAAAGGCATGACTTGAATTGCAAAGACAGATTGATTGAGATTGTTTACCAAGGTGTTTGCTCTTTTCTAGAATATGAACATTTTTCAAATACGCAGAACAGTTTCAGAATGCAAAATGTCTGTCATACTGCTTAGATTAGTCCTAGGTTGTGGTTCCTCAAACATGGCCCTTCCACGGAATAAAGGCACTTTCATTGTTTGCAACTATTGTGTTTTGGCTAAGGAAGGATGAAGGGTACAATGGAGCAGATTTGCCAATATAATCACTGGGTTTTTTTAACTAAGTTCTAATTCACATTGTGTCAATGGCTGGATTTAATATTCAGTCTAATAATTGATGGGTGAAATAATTTATCCCTCTGCATGCCAGTAGCAACCATAATAACACTTCTGTGCTTCTGCTACTCACAGCCAGTGGCTGGCTACATATGATCTCACTGTGTTGAGATGGGCTGACTAAACCATCATTAATACACAACTCATGGAAACTAAGTCTATACCGGCAATTTTTTTGTTCTAAGCTTCAAATTCATGTTACAGTTTACTTCATCCTGTCATGTATGCTGGGTAAAAGTGCCTTACAATGTAAAAAATATATTTATATGTTCCCAAGTAGCATCACTTGCTGGGGAGTAATTCTGTCATGGTGTTAATATTGAGAAGAAATGTACCTCAGCAGTGTATTTACTGTATATTTCCTATGTCCTTAACTGTAGTTTTAATAAGCATGAACATGTATGATAGGTATACAACATATTTACATCATTTTTTTAAAGACAAAATACTGCCATTACTGTGTTTTTATGTGCATTTTAGCTTGAAAATTTGGACAGTTTGTCTTTTTTTTGTAAAGCAATGTAATCTTTGCAAGCATATATTGAGGACTATTCTGTGCATTTACTGTCTTCCCAGAAGCTAGGAATAATGAACATGCTTTATACGTAAAATAGATTTGTTTAAATTATCTAGTTAAATTAATAAGGTTTATTTGTTCCTGGCATTTTTTTTAAGCAGGCACCTTTTGCTTTCATCTCATGATCAGAGAACAATCTTGAATTTAAGAAAACGTGTCTTATGAAATCAATTTCACTGAATTTTGTTCCTTTGTGGCAGTTCTTACTTCCAAAACAGTGTGTGTCTATTCTCCGGAGACTCATGAGGCAGTGGCAGTTCTTACTTCCAAAACAGTGTGTCTATCTATTCTCCGGAGACTCATGAAGCTCACCTATAATGGAAGATTTTTCCACAAAATTATATATAGTAGTTTCATTATAAGAACATAAAAACAAGCAAACCAGATCTGACCAAAGGTCCATCTAGTCCAGTATCCAGTCTTCTGACAGTGGCCAATGCCAGGTGCTTGAGGGGAAACAAATAGAACAGGGAATCATTGAGTGATCTATCCCCTGTCACCCAGTTCCAGCTTCTGGCAATAAGAGGCTAGGGACACCATTCCTATATATTAGCAAAGGGTTTGCCCTTAAAAAGATCCTTTCCCCTGCTCTTTTCCCAGGGGCGCTGGCAGTACCTGTCTTTCCCTGAGCCATTGTAGGGTACTTGCAGCTGGGGGAGATAGGGTTCTAGAATGCTATTAGAAAAATTCCCTGACACTCCAGTTTTTACAGTTCTGATGAGGCGGTGATGACCTCCACCAGAGCACAAGGCTGTGGTGGCACAAAGTGGCCACAAATTGCGGTGTGAGAGAAGCTATAAAGGGCCTGCCTAGCACCAATGTGGGTGGCATTGGCTGGAAAGGAGACATGGGAATGCAGTTAAGTCACTTGCCCAGATGTTTGCCAACAGAGAACCTGTAACTAGAGTTCCTCCTGCCAACACCCATTGAGGGCAGCAGTAATTACACCACTCAGGGCACATCTAGAGAGCACCCTTCTGTCGGAATAAGCTATGCAATGTGCGCTATGCAAATTGCACAGCTTATTCCGAGTCTAAATCCAAAGAGTTTGTTTTGAAATTTGGCTAGTCAGCGCCAAATTTCAAATTAAGGTACTATTCTGACAAATAGGGATGCTGGAATAGTGCACCCACTATTTCGGGAAATAGGTGCTTTTAAAGACATGGCGTTGCTATTTCAGGATACTTCTGGTATCCCAAAAGAGCAAGGCAGTCTCTAGATATACCCTCACACTCAACAGAATGACTTTCTTGTATATAAGGACTTTGCTGGTTTAGGGAGGTTTAGTTACACCTCCTTTGCCAGCTTTGCTGAATTTGGTCCTACGGTCAACTTCTAGTACAGTGGTTCTCAACGTTTCCAGACCTGAGTACCCATTTCAGGAGTCTGATTTATTTGGCATACCCCAAGTTTCACCTCACTTAAAAACTACTTGCTTACAAAATTGGACATAAATACATAAGCGTGTGAGTACACTGGTACTGAAAAATTGCTGCTTTCTCATTTTACCATATAATTGAATGGCATATAAATACTGTACTTACATTTCAGTGTGTACGTACATGTGTGTGTGTGTATAATATATATATATAGAGAGAGAGAGAGAGTATAAATAAGGTATTGTCTGTGTGAACTTCTAGTTTGTAACTTTGCTAGTGCTTTTATGTAGCCTGCTGTAAAACTAAGCAAATATCTAGATGAGTTGATGTATTCTGGAAGACCTCAACATACCCCCAGGGATACATGTACTCTTGATTGAGAACCACTGTTCTAGTGGACAGTAGCTGTAGTAAGACCATTACCAGGAAGTGCTCCTTACTGTTGTTCCATATAGGGAGCGGTAACTTATACCAAACCAGAGCAGAAGAGGTGATAATCCCCACCCTCCCCCCGCAATGTCATACATCTCAATGCAGACTTAAGAACAACATGCATCCTCTCCATCAGCTTCATGTAGCGTGGACACTCTAATTGACTACTATTTCTTTTCCCTTCTCTTCCTTCTCCCGTCCCATCCCCTATATATTTAGAAACTGGACCTTTAATAACTCCGGTCATCTGAAGAAGTGGATTGTGCCTACAAAAGCCCATTATACCATCTACATGTTTTGTTAGTCTTTAAGGTGCTACTAGACTATTGGCTGTTTTTTACGTTTATCTCTGATGTGATAATTGCTATGCTCCAAGAAGATTAGTAAAGTTGAACCAATATTCTAGTGGAATTAAACTTCATTATAAGCACAGCAAAACATAACTGTGGACAAACATCTCAGACACTTCGCCAAAGGATTAATGCCCACAAAACAGATATCAGACAAGATCACAAAGAGAAAACAGTTTCTTGCCACTTTAACCAGAAAGGACACTCTCTAAATGACTTAGCCACCTGCATTCTGCTACAAAGACCTTTTACATCTGCACTTGAAAGGGAATCCTCTGAACTGTCATTCATGTTAAAATTCGACACTTACCACCAGGGACTTAACAAGTCTTTGAACTTTCTCACCCATTATCAAGACAGTTTCCCCAATTATCACCTGTAATACCATTAACTCACAAACATCCCACTCTCCCTACCTTTAATATCAGCAATTCACAGACACTTACCTTCCTTCCTCCCCCTCCCCCACCCCGCATCTCCCTTCTGTTCTGCAATGTGATTTGTCCTTTTCATATGTGTTCATTTTTTTTAATTGTATCTTTTGGTATATATGGTTGTGACTATTTTCTTCCAC